TATAGATATTCCACATCGTCATGTGTCATTGATGTTTAAAGAAAGGTTTACTAGACACAGACGACATGTAGAGAGCATTATTATAGACATAGATATAAGCAAAGTAGGTATTGCTGGTAGCCTGAAACAGATAGGCAATGAGAGAGCAACAGCACAAAGCTAAGGACCCACTTAAAGGATGATGGAATATGATAATGAAGATGGTGTGAATAAGATTATGGACGTGGAAGAGGCCTTCTTTTTCTTTACCCATCATCATCATCATTTAGGGTTAGTAAATTAGTGACATCACGGCTTAAGCAACTTGATTAACTAGGCCCCACTTAATTCACTTGCACATAGCAACTTGTGAAAAGAATGGCTCAATCTTTTAATGCGGCGTTCGTGCTTGATGAGCATAGCGTGATAGTGAAATTGCAAACCCTAATTCATTAATTTAATGTAAGGAAATCCTTTCATCTTAATTAAATTATTAGATGTAACATGATTCACGTCGGATGTATTCATTTTTAATTACCCAATTATCAATTCAGGGAGTTTTAAAAATATACTCCTCTGGTCCATATAAAGGTCTTATATTTAGGACCGGAAGAGTAGTTTATTCCGGTTATTATGTTTTGTTTTTACTTTTCATTTGTGTAGTCGTGAAAGATTATTAAACGAGCTAGTTCATGCTTTATTAGTCGATCACGTTTGATGTCCTTCTGAAATATATTTATCTGTTGATTCCAAAGAAATATATAGTAATTAATTACTTTGGCTTCAAAATAACTGCTGTTTTAAAATTTTTAAAAAATATTAATTATTTCTATTCCTTGCTAATTCCCGATTTTTTGCTGTGGAAGAATATATGTGCAAGAGATATATAGTTAAAAATTAAACGTCACTATTTTTTCAGTGTTAAAGGGCATGATAGATTAAAATATGAAGGATACATTATCAGATTTGAATTTTTTAGAATCTAACTATGGCATTATGTCCGAATTAACTTATAATTTGTCTGAGTTGTATGTGGGATGGTGAGCAAATGAACAATAACAAGAATAGAATGTGGAGAGTGAGGGACAAATCCACCCACCATTTTTTTTCATGTTACAGTGTACTCTGATATGGCTGCCACAATGCATGCATTTCCCCATATATTTAACATGCAGAACCCAAGCTTCTACATATTTATCTGTCTTTCAAAAGTTACAGACCCTGCATTTTTTTTAAAGCTTTTAAAGTCTCCATAATCCTCTGAAAGAATCTTTAATTTGAAAAATATTGTCAATACTTAATGTCTTGCAGATGTGATGTCCTGAGATGTACAATCAAGACGCATTAATAAGGCAGGCCACAAACCACCGAATCCATTATCCATATATCGAAACGGATAGATCCGTAAAATCAGAAAAATATATATGTTTTGTTAAAGAGGAGATATATATTAGATATATATAGGGCAATTATATATATTCAACTTCTATTCTCTACTTTCAATGACTAAGTCTATAGTATCTGCTTGCCAATAATAGAGATTCTTATCAAGCTCCAACACTGATTGGAATATTTTATCTTTTCATAAGATTATATGCTACGTCACTTCTCATATGTTTCACTTGGTTGAAGTAAATAAAGTGAACCAAAAAAGTTACGAGTACTGTAATTTTTTTTTAACCATCCCATTTGCCATAAAGGATGAAACATTGTCACGGACTGATGAGTCTTAAAGGCCAGGGTTTGTCTTTACATAAAACTGATGATACTTGTGAAGAAAAGTGTGATATGATTTGTGACGGTTTTTCAGTTGAGATTTGCTTGGTCTATGACTAAGTCAACATTACGGGCCGCCTAAATAAACATCTAGTAATGTTTGAAATTTTTTTCTTTTTCCATTTTTTGGGGAAAAAAATGGGGGAAAGGTTCAAACGTTGACTATAATTACAGGGGTAAGATGAAAGGCCGAAGCCAACGTTGGTGTCCCACCACATACCATTGGGTGTCCCCAAAGAAACAGTCATGTTTTGGAAGTCAAACTTACTGAATGATTAGTTGGAAATTATTACCAACATCACTTGTACTCCCAAATATTTTAACAAAAGTCAAAATATCAAAACCCTCCTGCTCAACATCATAAAATTATACTAGTCTGTGTGTGTGTGTGTATTCTTCTACAATGGACCCAATTCTACGCAATCATTGTTCTTGAGTAATACTCCGATAAACATATTTTCAGACAATCAAGTTGCTCAAGAAAAATTAATTAGATGTCCTATACCATTACCTATAATTTTATTGTTAAACCAGGCATTCATCCTCGGCGATGCACATGACTACTAAGAATTTGATGATCTAGTGTAAGAAATGTTTGGACCGTCTGATACTGAAAAATAATTTGAAAAACAAATACAAAAGAAATCTTAAAGAATATGAAAAAAAAGAGAAAAAAGCCCAATCAAACGTAAGTTGGCACATCAGCTTAGGAATAGGAGTAACGGTGAAAAATGGGACCAATAGATGTTGGTCCTATTGTTAGAGTTTATAATTATTTAAATATAAAGTCTTGAATGTAAGCCCGTAAAAATAGATGAAAGCATGAAACACTAGTTCCGAACGTGTTTCTTTTGAGCTTTGATGATATTTAGTACCTCTTTGGCTTCAGTTTTTTTTTTTTTTAAATCATGTTTGCACCTTATGGGACCAAAATTATTTTACATATTTATTTCATACAGCATAAAATTAGCCTTTTAATCTGATAAAAAAAAACTAAATAAGAATCCCAACAGACGGTTGAATGAAAACAGGAGGCCAAAATGGGCGAAAAATGAAGACAGTGGGGTGGGCCAATGAGGGAGGGGAAGTGGGCATCAGTGCCTTCGTCTATTGGCTAGTGCGAGAATGGCAGCAGAATGTTGTGTGGCACCGATGCCTCCCCCCTCCCCTTTTCTTCCCTCATTTATCTATGGTTTTATGATGCGTCGGACATTTGACCGCCAAAACCTCGAACTTTCCATGCCACGTGTCACATTCCTCACCCTTCAACGAATCCCCTTCCATCATCGTCACCCATCTCATGCACCCGCCCCCATTGGCTGCTCGACACGTCATGCCACGCGTCACTCCTCACTCCCCCCCACTCCCATTTCTTTTATTATCACCATTATTTCACCCTTTTTATTTAATTTCATACAGTACTAGTACTCCGTAACATGGCCATTCCACGTGTCGGCAGCACCCCCCGGAAGAATCTACACACGTTCGGAGTCCCCGCTTGGGCAAAACAAGAGTAACTTTCATATGCACGGACCGCTTGGTCTTGTTCTCGTGCAGATTCTCGGGCTCTTCTTTTTTTTTTTAAAAAAAAAAAGATCATGAAAAGAACAGAAGAGAGAGAGGGGGGTTAAAAAGCATGGTCAAAAAGTATGACTGCGAAACGTGGTCGGTAATATGACTCCTATAGTCCTATGTGCCAGGATCAAATGAATACGGAAGCTAGTAATGGAAAGAGGACCCCAGTGGGCGGAGCCCACACGTAAGGCATTGCCCAGTCACGTGTGCAACTTCTATTTTTCCACGTTCAACGTGTGGCAGTGTCAGCTCTGAAGTGACGCCGCCCTCCTCACACACTACCCGGTGGTAACACAATAAAAAGCAGAAACAACTAACAACCCTTGTGATATGACACCAAACGCCCTTCACTTTAGGCCCCTACTCCCTCCTATTTATCGTTTATATTTAGGGTGAATATAATTAAAATTTAATAATTTTAAAATTAATAATGTTATGTAAGAGTATAGTTGGTAAAATTTTGTTCTTCAATTGAAGTATTTTGTATTTTTCATTACATGTAATACATTCTTAACTAGGGAGGCCAACGGAATCCTTGTTAACCCTTTGAGTGGGAAGGAAACTTGAGCAAAATGGTGAGGGAGGGAAGTTTGTGCAGGCCCAGCTCTAGCAGGGAAATATCACATTAAGCATAATTCCTTTCTGCATCAACAGTATCCGCCATAATCTTTGATTGGACCCACCGGCAAATTTAATTACTACTATGGAAAAGTTCACATTCATATTCAGTCACACCACGTGTTCACGTTATCACTAATCCTACTTCGCTTTTCCTCTTCATATAATACAAGCCGCGCGTTCAAAGTTGGCCAAGATTCCCAGACCCCAATTTTTTTAATTTCCCAATCTAACCCTACATTGATCTCAGGCTCTGAGCATCATCACCGCCGTTTGGTGACAGCCAATCGTCACCGTTGATTCAAGGCGAAAAAATTGTAGGCCTTGCTTTGTTATAACCCACGTACTACGGAACCGCCACGACATTAAAAAATATTTTTTTATTTACTTATGCCGGGCGGCTGACCTGCACGCTATTTTCAAGAACCAATACGTCGCGCTTTCCCGCAGGCCAATAGAAGAGCGACGCGTGCGAATGGAGACAAACGCGAACTCAACCCGCCCCACATAAACCGGCTTCCGCGGGTCCCACAATGTTGGGACGCTTGTATTGCCTTCGCCACTGACAGCATTCCTGGGCACTCACACTCACCACATATTATACTGTATTTTTTAAAATTCCGAGAAATTCTGTCCTATAATATGCCAACCCGATCTTCAATAAATTACTCCCATTCTTTTCTACACGGTCCAAATAATCAAATTTTATATACATTAAAAAATTAATTAAAATTTATTTAATTTCAATAAATGTATAGAATGTGTAATTTATTCCTTTGAAAAAAAAATTTATTCAAAGAAAAATAATAAATAATATTAAAAAATTTTAGACAAATTATTAATATCTCTTATAATGTCAAAAATTAATTGAAAATCTTTTCTTCTTCTTCTTCTTTTTTACCAGCTAATTGAAGATCTCATAACACAATCCGAGTAGCAATCTCATTCTATTTCCAAAATCACGGATAAGGGACAAAATTCAATAAAAATTCTTTTTGTATTTACGGACAGAAATAATTGCATCAACTAATAGAGGCATCGGATTGGACGGATGCAGGGAGAGAATTTAATAAAAATTCTTAACTTCAGCATTTCACATATATTATTAAAGGGACACCCAAGCACCTATTTCAAAGGAGTACTATTTAGTATATTTACAACTCGACCACCAAAACTTAGGTATGATAACTGGTAAAAAGCCCGTCCTATGTATTTTCCTGATCATATATATATGGCTCCACCGAAAGGAGCTTTCCTTATTATTTTGCTACACCGTTCTTTTTTTTCCTCACATCACCACCCACTATTTCATAGATGCCTTATTTTCTACTTTCTTAACCTTTTTCCCCCCTTCCTATTGCATTTTCTATATACAATGCTAGAAACCACTACCCACAGGACAAAACACTCCGATCCCAGAAGGGTCGAGTATTGCTGCTGAAACGACGTCGTGACACTTGCACTGGTACGTAATATTATATCTGCGCGAGGACCTGGTAGCAAATTAACCTAAAATACTAAACTTTCTTAGTATTCTATGATTAGTCCTCCCATGGGGGCTCTGTGGGGGATTCCCTTTCTTCTCTTGGCCGTTCTGTAATTCACCGAAGTTGGAGGCGGCGTTGACGGAGTGAAGCTCTGAACCCGACACTTGCCGTTCTTCTGCCGGCCATGGCTGCTGCTGCTGCTGTACGAATCCTCCGAGTCTGACGCCATTACCTCCGACTGCTTCTTCTTCTTCTGGAAATCCCTCGACGTCCCAACGATCTGTTAAAAAGAGACCATGTTCAGATCCAGTAATTCCAAAAGGCAAACTTTTTCAGTTTTTCTTTCCCAATTTGTTCCACAACAGCTTAACCAAAGAAGGACATTGTTCACTTTTCTGGTTTCACGACTCAAACTATAAAGGCATTGAGCAATTTAAGTACCTTGCAACCCAGAGAACAGAAACGGTACGAATCCAGAAGGCTCCGCTCACAGACTTCGCAGGTGTTAGTGACGCCCTTTCCAGGCCTGGGCTGAGGCCTCTCGTTCAGGAATACTACTCTTGCGCTGTTGATAATGTAGGTCTGGACGCCACTTATGTCTAAAACTTTCTGAATCTCTGAGACCCTAATAACATCGTGGTATGAGGACCTCCTAATCTGCCAAAAAACATGAAAGTTCGGTTTCCATCAATAAGAGTAACAGAACACGAGTTTCACTCGGTTTTATGAACCAATGAATGCCGAATGGAGAGTGGAAATCAGAAAACGGTTGACAGTTAAGAATTTATAATAGAAAATTATGATAACAGAGCTCAATTAATGAGGGAAAGATGTGACTTTTCACCAGAATCCGGAAAAAGAACAAGAGTGGTGATGATGAAAACAATGAGCCCAAGAGATGAAGCACGAATGTGAGGAAGAGTAAAGTGTTTTTTTTTTTTTTATTGAGTTATGAAGTGAGGAACGAGCCTGAATGGCACGGTGGTCTTTGTGGAAGGCGAGGCAGAGAGAACAGAGAGCGCCGTTCATGCAATCCAAGCAATACATATTGCATTCGCTCTTGTGGGAATCAGCATGTGACTTGCATTGAACAAAGAAGCTCTCTCTGAGCAGAGGCTTCAACCATGGCGGCCACCTATTGTCCTCATCGCCAGGACCGCCAGCACCCTTTCCAAAATCAAACAACAGAACAGAAATCACAATCAGAATCACACCCAGAAAGCAGAACAGAGCATCAACACAAGCACAAAAAACAATGAGAAATATTTGTAAGCATCAACTAATACCATGATTCTCCTGCTCTTGGGTTTAATTTCCTTCACAAAGGAGTCTTTGCTTTCGATCGCCAGCTTGAAAGAACTGAGTAGAGACAGACTCCGATGAGCTAATGAGGAATGTGAGGGATTTTGAGAGAAAATTTAACCAGAAACTTTTAGAAGAGTGAAATTGGTGCGAGAGAGGGAGAGAGAGGGTATGTACAAGGGAGGCGGTAGAAGATGATGGCTTTAAGACAGGGAATAGAAGAAGGCGAACAAGAGAGGGGTCGTTCTTATCCTCACGAAGTCGACAGCCAAACCCAACTCCGGACCCGAACCAAGCAGATGCGTTGGGTGCAAGGAACTCGCCTCCTTCTTTGCTTTTTTATTTCGCTTTCAATTTTTCCTTACCCGGCTTGCTTTGGTCTCATCAATTTTGTTAATTTAATTAAACTAATGCCTCAGTTCCCCTAATTAATTAAACCCTATGATCTCAGACATTATTATTCGTGATTAACGCATTGGTATATATAACATAGTATTTTATTGCTGCCTCGGTTTAGGCACATACATGAATTTCGCCCTCAGTTTGTTCCCAGTGTAATTCTCATTACATGAGGCTGCTCCTTTCCACTCTTGTCCTGTCCCCAACTTGTTTGGTTTCTTAATATTTAAGTCACTAAAAACTTGATGACCAGTTCGGCTAAGCTGTTTGGGTTTTGTCCTCAGTATGAATGCCTGCTCGGACTATTGTGTAGGGCTCTCCCAAAGTGTCAACTTCATGAGCAATGGGAGTCAAATTTTGAATTTTGAATTTTTTATAGTATTTTTATTTATGAAATTCGGTAAAAAGAAATCCCTGTTTATAGATTTCAATTACCAGAAAAAAACTAATACATTTTCATAGGAGGAAATAAAGGTATTCCTGTTTGAAAGTTTTATTAGTTAGAAAGACATGATACATTTTTACAGCAAAAAATATTGGTACTGCGTGTAAAATTTCATATACAGAAAATATCGATAATACTCAAATTCAAGTTCTTATGGCTAATAAAATTTTCAAATAATAAAAATCTGGTCCATAAGATTGAGAATTCTGATCGCGTTGTCAATCGTCTTTCATATCTCATGAATGATTTAAACTAAAATTTGGTTTGCTTTCAAGCAATAGTCTTCAAAGTTCACAATGGAAGGATGATTTAAATGTTACAAGCCAAAAGCAACACTGCAGGTTGGGTTTTGCAAACAATGGAGGATGGGATGAAGAAGGCGAGCTATATATATATATATATATTGAGGAGCAAAGGAATGATGATTGATGAATGATGAAAAAGGACAAGCACCGGTAAAGAAAGGTTGTATATGAAATAATTTGAGAGGTATTAGCTGGAAGGGAGGGCACCACAAGCTTGTCCCTAGCTAACCCTAATCATGCAGCAAGGTTAGGTCGGTCGACTTGCTTAGCTTGGCCATCCCCAATTTCTGCAACAAATTCTATTTCAATTCTTCCCACTCTCACATTTTAATTAATGTTCTTTCAACAAGCTAAGTAATCCTTCATTAAAGATGCTCAGTAACTGACTCAAGTTTTTTAGCACAACAATTTTCACCTTTTAAAGTATTCTTAGATTTACATGCAAGACATAGTTTTCTTAGCATGTGTGTTTTTTTATCCACAAAATTTGAATTTGGATGTTTACTCACAAGTACATATGGAGTCAATTTACCCACAAGTGTTGTTCCTAATGGAAGGAGTTATATATAGTAGTCGTTTAGAGATGAAGTATCAAATTTAAGCCTGAAATCAAATAAGTGCAAAATAACATTTTAAAAAGAGTTAACTTCAACTGAGCATAACAATATTTGAATCTGACTTAATTAGATAGTTAAATAAACAAAACATATTGGGCAATTTCAACCAATTTAAATACCATTGATAGTAGGGTGTCTATTTCATTAGATGGTGGTATAGTATATTTATATAATTTAAATTAGAATATATATACACGCTCGCACATATGTATTAGGCTAGATAAATCTGTATCCAAATTATAATATATTATTTATAAATGAAATTATACAAAATATTAGAATTATTGGTTCCAAATGTCGTCAAACAATTGGCGATGACATCACGTAAGGAAAAGGTAAAAGTTAGATATCCAAATCTATAAGTACACGTGAATTTGAAGATTAAATTGATAAATTGATGCTATGTGACTTACAATTCAAAACGATTCATGATGCAACTAAACTACTGGTATTTAATTTAATCAAATTTATATATGTTGGAATGATTGGAGTTTAGAAGGCGAAAACTAACGAAAGGGGCATAAAAAGAACGACAGGAGAGAATAAGTGGTAAAGCTAATTAAGAGTAAATGTTTTGTCTAGTGGGTTTGTACAAAACAAGAATAGCAAACTCAACAGAAAATTTAATGGAAAAACATAATACAATTAATGACAATAATCACAGCGTATGAACATAACAAACTCATCAACTTAAATAGAATAGGAAATTTAGAATGCTAAATATGAAATTACAAATAAATCATAATCAATTACCTTAACCGTAAAAACAATACACACACACATATATAAAAAGAACCTAATATTGGGTAAAAGGGAATAAACCTGCCTTCTTCTAGAAAATAAATTTGGTTTTAAGTAAAAAGGTAAAAGCCTAGAAGCCACGCTCTGCAATTCAATATCCTCTTTCATTACTTACCCCATAAAAGGAAAATTGAGGGAAAAAATCTCCCGTTAAAATTTTATTACTAAAAATGATCTGATAAATTTTTTATATACTAGATATTTTTTATCAACAAAATTTTTAATGAGACTTATCCAATTTTTTTTTTTTAAAATCATCTTTCGTCAATTTTTTAATCTTCAGTCTCCACGATTTTGTGGGCATAAGAAGAATTCTAGTAGGTAAAAAGATGTCAAAGTTCCCGATAAAAAAAAAAAAAAGATGTGAAAGTTCAAAAAGGACACGCAATGTAGTTAGTTAGGATGGGAAAATTTCTTTTCTTAATAAATGCTCAACGTAAAGCAGCCACTAATTTATAATTACTCATGGCACTAATCCTTAATTACCAGCCTTTATACTGCCACTGATCCTCTGCCGAATCTAGCTATGATTGCATTCAAATTTTTAAATCGCTGGGGGGAAAAAGTTTATTACTTTCGTCAAATCAGTCGAATACTTTTCTATAATATCAAATGAAAATGTTAGCAACAAAAAATATGAAATGAAAATCGTTAATAGAGAAATAGAAAACTCATTGGCAGAATAGAAGAACACTGGCAAAGTTAAGGAAAGTTGGAGAGAGGTATTAAAAGTAGTTAAAACTAAATAAAATCAGTAGACAAAAATAAAAATTAAGAAAGAAATAAGGAAAGAATGGAAAATTAAAATCTACTTGAATATGAAAATTTTAATTTATCAGATTATTCTCATTTGCTCAGGAAAAAAAACAAGAAAATAGCGGAAAAGAAAAATTGGCCTAGGATGACGGCAAATCCTATGAAGCTTTTAAGCTTCCTCCAATGCTTCGTCGTGTTTTTAAGAATCGCAGAGACTTTTCAACAATGAAAAAGGCGAATTGCATCATTTGTCAACGAAACTTGCAAGTTGCAACTTTGTTCACCGCCTTCTCTTTCCCATCCCTCTGCCTTTAATTTCGCATTCAACCTCAACAAAACCATACATCAACCCCACAACAAATCAAACTACCTTCCTCTTTATCCCATATCGCTTCTTCGTTCTTTCTCATCGCTTTCTTCCATGGGAAAATTTGTTATAATGTGAGCTCACCCTGAAAACTATTCCCTTTTCCCTACTGTGACGGTATAATCAGAATGGCACAGCATCATGATGAGACCCCAACAACACATTTCTTGTTTTCCTCTTCATCAATTTTATATTAATTAATGTGTAATCAATCAAAGGATAAGCACTGACTTGGTTTGTCATTATATATGATTTTGGACGACATTCAATTTTGCGGTAGTAAGTGGGAATCGCGGGAGATATTTATATATTATTTTAAGTTCTCTAGGGTGGTCCATGCCTCTCTATCTGCTAAACTATATGTACTTGTTCACTCTGAAACAAGAACCGATCGACACGCTGAAAAAAGGTCTTTAATCAAATCAAAGTTCAAAAACTACATTTAAAAAATGAATTATGGAGTGTGACTTTGTTGCCATCAGCGGAATAAAGTAAATTCGAATCCATATATCCCTATAATTAACACTAAACAGTGCTTTCAGCATATCGTATTCTGATACACCCCTGCACTCTGCATTATTATTTCGTATCTTGTTTCTTGTCTTGTAGAACAAGATTGTACAAGGCATTTTCTATTTTTAGGATCAGTTTCGAAGAATTTCATGGTGGTCGACCGATGGATCAAAAAGATTAGAAAAGGGGTTTGACGGGACGCAATAATCGAGCTCGGTCGGTCTCCACGCGGAGGACACAATTATGAATTATGAGATCAGCATAGTCAATAGTAATTCCCATGAATTACTGTGTCTTTGTTTGTTTGGAAAGCGAGAAAATTCGGATGAGTCCTACCGGACAAGTCTCCGCCAGAAATACCGCAGAATTTTCGTTCGTTGCTTCTGAAGGAATTGTGTTATAGTATATTAATACTAATCGTGGCTGGCTAGTTATTATTGTGGGTAAATTATTGAACTTTAAATGCTTTGCGGCCCCGGGCAGGCTTGCCCATTGGAAATTTTTGTATCCCGACAAGAGGTATTTACACTTTTGCAAGAAGAACACTGTCAAAGAAAACAATACAGAGAATCTTTCAACTGGTAATTGGGTATAGTGATGGCAATTGGAGTGTAGTCATCACTAGTGGGAAATCCTCAGAGAATAAGCACAGAAGAGAATTAGAATTTCGTTTTAGACTAAGTATACCGTATGTTATTTTTCACCATCAAAAAATTAATTTTAATTAACTAAGTCAATTGGCCATCTTAAACTGGGCCAAAATGATTACAAGCCACACTAAGAATATTTATTAATTATCCTAATAATAAAAAAATAGTTATAATATAATAAATATCTCACAACTTTTTCTTGTTATAGGAATAAATAATCGAATTGTTATAAGATCAAGAAATATTAGTAAAATTAGTTAACCTCCTTAAATATGTTACAAATTTAAAATTCTTTATAAAAAAAACTGCTCATGTTAAATAATTGACAACGACTTAATTATTTCGTATAATTAATAGATGCAACGCATGATAAAAAATGCGATAAACACATCAAACAATATAATGGTCCAATATTTTTTTTTAAATAAACAGATTAGTCTCTTACAAATAGAAAGAGATGGAATTTTTTTCTTCTCGTGTTTTGTTGAATGTCGTACTGTGAGGGATATAAATGTTAATTAATTAATGAGAATTGTAAAGATGAAAATTAAAGTGGGGAGAGAAAAGCAATGGATGAGGGTTGAAAGTTAAGGGGGTGTTTGGGAAACCCAAACCATGGTTTCAGAAGCACTTTTCCGCAAAACGAGGTAATTTTCTCCACATATTTACTTCGTAGTCCGTAAAAGCACTTCTGAAACCATGGTTGGTTTCTATCCAAACACCCCTAAATGGCGTCCGTGTAAAGGTCAAAGGGAAGCTACTCTGATGAAACCCTTCGCTTGCACACCACCGTTGACCCAAACTTTTGGTCATTGCCTCATTCTCTGCATTGACCCTTCAAACTACGTCGTTCTGAGTTTTATAGCCCCTCCTCCCAAATGTCTTTTTGTCTTAAATATAAGAGTTAATTAACTAATTTAAATAAATTAAAAAAATAATTTAAACTAGTTATTTGTAATAAATAAATATTGTCTTTTCTAAAATATTTTTGTTAATCATCAAGTATATTGGGTAGAACTATTATTATTATAAAGACTACTTTAAGAGAAAATGAATAAATATAAAAGATAAAGTGGATTTGAAACGAGCATTTATATTAAGAAATGGAGGTAGTAGCTTGTAAAAAATAAACTATGACATTAATTCAATTAATAAGCATTGATTTGATATGCGAGAGTTCATTATATATATTAACTAAAATTAGCAATCAGCATTTGCCATCTAAAGAGGTGCAACATAATATATATAAAAAAAAAAACAAGAGCCAATCAACCATTATGCAGTACATTTAAAAACAGAAATAAACCAAGCAACTGATGCCCCCAAAAAAAAAAAAAAGAACCTAGCAACCAACAAACTAGTTATTAGCTTAACTACTTTTCGTATCCAATTTAAAAATCAAGACAAACGTCCTTGTATGAAACGAAAAATGATGGTTATGAAATTCAGCGTTTACTTTTTGTGTGTTGGGATGGAATTTCAACACCAGAATGTCATGGCACGGCACGCTGTAATTAATAGTAGCAGTGAAATCGTGTGAAGGTCGTACAAACAGTACATACATAGAAGAGTCGGCAAGAAGAAGAATAGGGATGGATGGATGGATGGATGTGAAGGAAAGAAGAAATGATGAAAGGGCAATATAATCAAAGTAAAATAATGTTTACGATGTAATTAAAGTGGGAAAGTGGACTGAAAGAGACGAGTTTCTACTTTCATAAAATCCAAAAAGGTGAGGCGTAGTGCGAATCACACTGAGCCTCCCACATACTTCCCCTTCTCATCAACCACTTGCTTTATTTATCTCTCGTCTCACCCTTCACCGAATAATTAAAAATAGAGAGAGCCGGGGGGGGGGGGGGAGAAGATAGCGATCGACGTTGAAATTATGAATTTCATGACGAAAGAAAAAGATAAACTAAAATGATAGTTAGGGTTTGTAAACAATGGAAAGAGGGATGGAGAAGAGATGTGAGCGGGGAAGGGTGAAAGTGAAAGTAGAAGGATGGATGTCGTAGGAAGCTAAGTGAGGATGTTTGGATTGGCATAATTCAGCGAATGTAGGTTTGGAGTTGAGATGTTATGCGTCTCTATCAGTGGTGAGTAGGACCCCACTCTGCAACTTGCAACTCTTCTCGTCCACAACTTTAACCTCTCTCTTCTTCTTCTTCTTTTGTTTTTTAATTTTTTTAAAAAAATCGGCTTTATCACCTTCCTCCACGTATTTCGCCCATGTTTGGCATACCTGAAACACCAAAATGGGAGCTTTCTTCTCTTTTTTTGATGCACAGAAAGATGAAAAGACTACATACAATAAAATACCATTAACTTGCATTGTTACATCGAACGAGCGATTCCCTTTCTTTCTTCTTCTTTTTTTAAGTTTTCTTTTCATTTCCATCACCTAGTTTGGGGACATATACAATAGACACACGTGGAATTCTCTTAATATAAATTGAGAGCCCCATTTGAATTTACATTCAAATGATCAGTCCCCACTCTCGATCACAAGCTACCCGTCTCCCTCTGAAATTGATATCGTGTTGTGAAGACCCATAATTCTATGTGCCAGAAACTACTCATTATTGCCTGGACTATGTTTATTTTGGGACAATTAATTAATTTGTTGGTTTCGAATAGATAATTAGAGCTGCAGATCAGAACAATATAAAAGCTTGGACTTCAAAGCGACCAGTATGAGCGTACGTGAGGTGATTTTGGAAGTCAGGGAATTAGATTTCTGATGTGAACATTGGTTCTGCTTCTCCACCCACATACACAGCCTCCTCATGATCTCAGACCCTTCCATGGCGGCTTTTAAAGCTTGCTTTATGGATTGCTAATGAAGAACTTCAAAAATGGAAATAGCACGTGATTATTATTTTTCGTTTCCGGGTCTGAGGAAATACACAGTACCATGTGATCATTCCTTTTCTTCCCTTTCTCTGGATCATCCCAACTATGCCACAAGCTGTCTCTTTCAGATGACCAAGCTCAATTTCAACAGGTTAGATCTACTCACCCTACGGTATACAAGCAGAACCAACAATCAAAATAACCGATGAATGGATTTTTCCATTCCAATTATGGAGTGTTCAGGTTCTATTTTGATAGTTTAAATTAATTTCACTCTTTTTCACTTTAATAATAGTGCTCTAAAGTATTATACACCTAAATTGAGGTTTAGTTTATTTTAAATAATAAAGTATGAAAATTTTATCTCCAAAAATGTTTAGTTAAAAAAGGCCCGTTTAGTGATTACTAGATTTGAAGGTATCATTAACAGACATAGTTTTTTTTTTCTCGGTAATTATAAGTATCTTCTTATTGAAGGCAATCATATTTAAGACACTGTTGAATACTAATTGTGGACACCTCTCCTAATAGAGATTCAAACTTTGGTATATTATATTATGAAGGACTAGTCCCTGCTGTTAGTTTAACTCCTGTTGGTAATAGACGTACTTTGTTTTTGATAAGTGGGATATCATTTCGGCTTTCTGGATTTGGAGCTAAAAATTTAATTATTTAGATGAGAATTTATTTTGAGCCCAGGTCATCTTCATTGTGCTTGGGTGAGTCCAAACACTGATATGGGCCAAAATCTAATTGCCCTGTGTGCGGCCCAATGGGCTGCCGATGTCAATAAGTCCAACTCACGGAATTTGTTTTCAGTGAGCCCAAACATTGACATGGACCTTGCTACCAGACCCAATGGGATCCTGACCTCAAATACAATTTGATATGGGCTTGCTGCCAGACCCAGTGAAGCCTAATGTGGAATTCAAGGCGTAATTGATCAGTGGGAGACTTTAAACATAGAGAACAGAATAAAAGATTTTACCAACGGGTTGGAGTTAGTTTCTCATAACATGATAAACCATTCGAATCCTTATTGAGAGAGATGTCTATATTTAGTGCTCGACAGTATCACGAATAGGATTGCCTGTAATATAAAGATACATGTTCTTCAGCAAAAAAAATAAAATAAAAGATTTTAGCAGCAGGAAAAATGGGGGGGGATAGAATAAAAGAGACGCCCAAACCAAAAGGCGGTGTAGATGGCTGTGGACCGAAATATGGAACGCGTCGGCTTCGGTTATAAACAATAAATCAGGGGATGATGCTATTTGTTCACTAATACCATGATTTCAAGTTGAAAATCATCACACGTGGGGCGGATGAAACACGCCCTTGTTGAATTTGGCCACAGGTTAAATCAAATTGAATTTCACGCTTTGAGATTGAGCCCATTTTCTTATATAACTATGATAACTGTACCGCTAATTTATTATTTACGAGAACCAGCTATTAACATATAGAGTATTGTTAAATAGAAATAAAATTAAACATTTATTAGATTTTAAAATATAGTTGCTGAGATTAAATTTTTTTAGTTTCAGTAAAATAAATTGAAAATACCTTCTAAATAGTATAGAAGTTGAAGGAAAATGCATAATTATATGCTTTTCCAGTTCTCTTTATAAGTTTTAAATTTATAGAGAGATACGGCCCGTTTTATATAAGTTTCGATTTAAGTTTGTCTAAATATTTAATATAGCTCTTAATTATTTATTTTATTTCTTTTGCTATACTCTTTTGTCACATTTGTTTGTATATTTTCTTTCGTTCTTTTTTAATCTATTACAACGACTATTTAAAAATAAAATTATATTTCTAACTTATTTATTATTTTTAATTAATTTTATATATTTATTTTTAATTCGTGAATTATCTGTTTAAAACTCATAATAAATATCACATGGAGTACTAAGGATATGACATATGAGGACTGAGCTGCCAATAAATAAGAGCGCTGCTTCCCTCGCGTGAGCCAACCAAGGAGGTGCCCAGTCAAACAATTCCAGTGTTATTCAATGGCAATGCGTTTGATCATTCGGGTCAAAAAACAACAAAATGCCTTTGATCATCATGCAATTAATATGCATTATTTTTATTGTTAGACTAGACACAAGCAAATTAATAAATAGTTTTTCTCATAAAGCAAATTAGTAAATAGTTTATGCGTTCTTGGATGGCTTTATATCGTCAGCCGTCGCATCAATCAAGGCGGTAGATGAATCTTATCTCATCCTCTTCAAGTGCTATTTATAAATTAACCTTCTCTATCCCTTATGCTCTTCTATAAAATTTATACGGTAGGGAGGTGTTTTATTTATTTATTTATAAATAACTTCATAAATTTTTAATATGAATATATTATTTTAATTTTAATTTATTATTTATTATTGAGTTTATTGTTATTGGTTTAAAACGTAAATACTACTTTGTTACTTTTTATGAGTTATTTGTAGAAAAAAGGCTTATTTCTATATATAAGTATTTATTAACTTAAATACGCAAGAGAAAATATAAGCGCACTTCTTAATACCTTCCTTATAATGACAAATATGAAAAAAAGTATCAATTTAATATATTTTTTATTTACGAAATAGCTTATAAATAAGAATATAATAATAAAAGAAGCAGTCTGCTTATACACGCTGTGGATTCACGTGTCATGCACAATGTGAAAACGTGGGTCTTAATTTCAATGAAGTGATAAACGCTGTGTGAATTTAAATAAGGGCCAAAACTGAGACCCTCATTCTCTCAACTTCTCAACAACCCCACAACTTTCAACCGTCCCTCTCGCTTTTCTAATTTTAACGGCTAATTAAATTTAAGCTATCATATTTTATAAAATTTATATGGCATACTTTTAAAAGTCAGTCATTATTATTTTAAGCAATCGTATTATTATTTTTTGAAAAAAATATTGAAAATTATAATTTCACAACACTGTCATGACTTGAACTTAAAAAATAATTGTGATTTTAAAAATTTAAGCTAAAATTCCTAAAATTTGAGTTATTGTTTGCTTAAATAGCTAATCGTCAAGAGTTTGTGAGAATGATCTCCAAATTAAGATGTCTTGTCAATTGCTTCACTGATAATTCATTTTAACTCTTCTTCCTCTTCTTTTCAAACCAAAGAGCGTACATTTTTTCCCCAAAAAAGATGGATATTAAATTTATGAAGCATAAATTAATAGGATTCCTCTTGACAATTCAGCGGTAGCATTTTAATTTTCTTTTTTTAATAAAAAACAGAGCTAACTTAAATGTTAATTCAAATAATTAAATTAGACATAATGAACCAGAATTCGTTGCCCCCGCTTTAACCATTCTACGCCGACCGTTCCTCGTAACCCCAGTCGGGTCCACATTAACCATGGTTAAGTTAATTTGTTCGCTTCCTTCGCTCAGTAGTCTATATAAACCTTGGCGGCTTTGGCCCCCGGAAAGTGCAACAGATTCAAATCACAGCAAAATATTTCGTCGCGAGGGAGCTCAGGCCAACAAGCGAAAATGGGATCTTATCTGGAAGAGGAAGAGCTTTGGAAGTGTCCCAAGCATCCATCCAAACGACGCCGTACCGGAATTTGCCCCGCCTGCCTTCGCGACCGCCTCGCCACTCTCTGCCCTGACTGCGCCAACGTCCGCCCCTGTTCTTGCTCCGCCGCCACCAGCTCTTCCTCTCCATCCTCCTCCACTTCTTCTTCCCTTTCTCGACTCTCCCTCGCAGGCGAGGCCGCCGGAGGATTGAAGCGATCGCGGTCCGTTGCCATTCCGTTTCTCCGTTCGAGCTCAAGGTTCCGCGGGGGCGACAGAGAGTTCGATCATGACGGAGCCTCTGGGAAGGATTTCCCGGGTCTCACCAGAATCCGATCGACGAGGTGGTTTTGGTCAATGTTCAAGCCACCGAAGAGCAGTCGGAGCGGAATGCAAGAGCAGAATTGTCAGAATGTCGTGATGGGAGAGGATGTGAAGAGTGCAGATGGAAAGACGGCGACGCTGATGAAGTCGAGGTCGGTGGCAGTTCCCGATGGCGGTGGCATGGGAGAGGTCAGAGGAGCGAAGAAGGGAAGGGGATGGAACTTTCCGAGTCCAATGAAGGCATTCAGGCAATCCAACAGGACGTCGAAAATCCTTCAGGAGGCGGTGGCGTGTGCATAGAGGTGAAACTATGTTAAGATAAAAATGAAATGCTCTACATGAACAGAGAACTAATATATATACGTATAATAATATATTGTATCTCCTATGAAAGATTAAGAGGATTGCTTTTAATCCTAAGATTTGAGGCCTAATAGA